TGACGCGCTTATGTATTGGTTTGGCTGAATTCCAACAAAACACTGCCTCCCACAAATGACATATTCTAAAACTTGAATATGACTTTCTCTAAATAGCGTTGAAAACTCTTTCAAGGAATGTTCTAAGTTTTAGCAGTACCCTTGACAGTACCCTAATAGACTGCCAACCGCACATTAAATAATAGCACTTTAACAATGTTAAAATTGAAATGAAATACTTCTCAAAAATACATTCCACTCACCGTTTTGAGATGATTTACACCGATTTATCCCATTTTGAAACAAATTTAGAATCTCTTTTGCATTCACTTCTTGCAAATTATTTATTTTTGCCCTCACAGCTACAACGCAGTGCGTGAATTCCTATCCCTATAAACATAAAAGCAGTATACCACCACATTTTAGGGGATAGCCTACGGCTGGTGCACTTTCCCCAATAAATATGAACTATGGGGGCGATTTTACTTAGTTTTTCACTTGAAGTTTGAATGAAATTTCCCGAAGGTTTTTGTTTTTGTCCCACTCACAATACCACTCTTTTGCGTTGCAGCACTGTTAGTCATGTCAGGTATTGCTTAAGAGATTTTAACTCGACACAACTTGCTTATTTTGTGTGGTTGTTTTCCATGTTATTCGATAATATTCCTAAAGTGTTTTTTTTCTCAAATGACATTTGCTTTGCCTAGAAGGTCAATGCCATTGCAAAAAATTCAACTACCTGCGAGTAAAAAGGATTGCATTATTTTCCGAATCACACACTTTCGGACATTATAGTTACAGCTATTTTTAAGTAGCCTTAAGCTGATGATCATAACGACTTTATCCTGCGAAGACACTTAACCAACTATGACAAACGAGTTGAAGTATGTAAGCCCGGCGTGAGCTGTGCTCGCTGATGCATCTATGCATTTTATTTTCATTTACTTCAGACAAACAAAATGCAAGCAACGCACGTTCGAAAATCCAGAGAGTAAATCCGTGATTTATATTTATATCCTTTGTCTGGCGATGTAGTCGTTTGTATTGTATTTTCTTAACCACATAACTATAAGTCGGGTTAAACATTAAGACACAATGCAACACTTTGGAGGATATTTCGCTTCTTGTAAGGAAGTTTTTATTTTGCAAATGTTTGTATCTATGGATGTATATATGAATGTATGCAGATCACATATGTACATTTATTTTGTTGGAAAGTATTTGCTCTTGATTCATGTTGACCACAAGCAATCAAATGAAAATAAACGACCAGAAGCTCAGTGGTTCTCACTACGATTCCATTGACAGCACTGCCAAAGCACCGAATTGCACTTCTGATACATTCTCTGACAATTACAGTGTGCTTTTATTTTTCTTCCCAATTTTTTTTGTATGCCCATTATTGAAACCTTTCGTTTCTCTTTTCATCGCATTTCTATTGTGATTAGGCAAGCGAATACGTTTACCGGCCAAGGCAAGGTTTGGCGAGAAATCGGCTTGTATTTCATGTTTCCTTTTTTTTGTTTATTAAATTCTAGAGATTACCCGCGACCTCGTGCGCATGTAGTCTAAATATGGGTTTAATGAATTTTTATATTGGGTTTTCGAGAAATTTTAGTTTTATTTTAATGTAGGGATTTAAAGATTCTTATGAAAACGAAGACTTACACATATTGCTATTGGACCTTGACCTTTGTTTATACTACAACGGGAAACTGCTCTCACTTGAACTTGAAAGGGTAATTTGAAATAAATTAGATTGATCATTTCCAGCGGATCGAACCATAAATAGATCGGTCCCACTTTCACTTGTATATGTGGATGGGTTCAAGCCGAAAAATATCCCCAATAATGTTAAAGGCAGGAAGCTATCACTGCCAAATTTAATGAAATCGAACGATACATAAAAATGTCTCGAACAGATCAGTACCAGAAAGTGCTGCCTCTGAACCGAATTTCAAGTAAATCAAACGATTTAAATTTAACGATTTACCAAAAGAAAAGCTACTACAGTGCCAATTTTAATTTAAATAAAGCGATAGATTACATTATGTTTGATTTTCCAAATAAATGTTAAATTTGTGAGATCACAAAAAATATACGTTTCACATCGTTTAAAAAAAGAATTATTCAAAGAATTATGTTTGTTAAAAACAGTTAAACCTCAAGCTCTCTTTTCATCTCAATGCATTTCGGAAAGTCCTCCTCACTTTGTGCGAAAAGAAGACAATTTTATTATATTCGTTTTTAATTTTAAATACAGTTTCCGATTAGCAGCTTTTCAGATTTGTTTCAACTTAATTTTGTATTCCTGATAAATCCTTCTAACGGTTTGTTGGTATTCTTCTGTCTAGTTGCTCAGCAGTAACCGAATTAACTTAGTGTGGAGTAATGGTTACTGTGGCTAAATCGTTATTTGTTTTTGTTTGTTGTTGTTGAGATTTTCCATTTCACACTATATCTTCGGTGTGCAATAATGCGTCAAGTACAATTCCACAATTCCGTATATTGCATTTTGTACAAATGACCGTAATTCCGACAGTCTGCATGCTTCTGTATGCATTGACCTTCTTATCTGTTTTATATTTGGTCTGTTCAGTAGTTCGTAGACTGCAGACAGAATGCATTTTAACGTTCAATGTTCGCTATCGTGGGTTCATAAATTTTGGCAACAGTTAAGTCGTTTCTCTTTCTCTATGTTGGTTGCCACCCGGAAAAGTCCTTGAATAAAGGACATGTCGAGTTTGTTGAGTTTTTCCTGCTTCCATTCATTTTATGCAACCAGCTCAACATCGTTTAATGCCATAAATACTACAATGCATTCGCGGTGGTATACCGGCATTCCGAGCACGAGATGCAGACATACCATGACTCTTATGATGCGCTGTTAGTTTTTGCATTTCTATCACGATAGTAAAACTTCCACTCTTTCTCCCGGCTCCATTGTTGCTATACAGCAAATAATTTACTAGCTTATTTTCAGCTGTTTGAATATTTCATTGACCTCCAAAGGGGCTGCTTGAAGGATAGCAGTAAAGAGTATTTGTGTGTAAATAGAAAATGGACGTATGTATTGTACAAAAATATCTTAGGGTGTTGGTGAGTTGAGTTGGTGATAGTTAGCAACGTGTGTTTGCCACCTAGACCAAATTGGATGGCAATTTATTTTTATATTTCAGTGGGTTCCTGGATGATATTTCCAAAAAGCGGACCAGGTTTCGATTTAGTGAAACTTTTGTACAAAATTATATCACTTTTCTTTCCCAGAAAGAAACCAGGGACCAGCTTCAGTTTGCTTGAAATTTGGTTATTTTGGTAGCTTTTTGTTTGGGTTAATATCAATACTACTTTCTAGGAGGTAGACTTGGAATGGATATATTTGGAAGACTCACATTTATAGCTCGATTTATTTAAAATTACTTTCTTTCCAAGAAGTGGAAGTGGTTGAATTTTTGTAGGGAGTTATATTTTTGTATAGATAAACATAAGAAATATTTTTCCCTCATATATGTATTCACCGATAGCACATGCTTTCGGACAGAAATATTTCTGTTGGCCACCTCATTCAGTGTTAATCTTTTCTTTATGGCAAAGCATGTCATTGCTTTTCCCACTTATTCCGTTTTTTTGTGGAAGAGATATTCTCGTACTTATGTACATATGCAGATGGGGAATTATTTTGCCGGCGAAAAACAAATTTTCTGCTGTTGATTTTGAATTAATAAAGTGATTTCATTGTAATGAGCTGTTAAGAAAATGTAGTGAGCGAGCGAATTTAAATTTTATTATTATTTTGTAAAAATTTCCTTTTCAGCATTATTTTTACCAAAACATGGAAATGTTAAATATTTTCTTTACGGCAAAACAACCTAGCAGCGTGGCTTTTGCAAAGCTTTCTTAGTTAATTACTTCCAATTAAGCGATGTATTCTATGACACCTTCCTTTACTACAAACTTTGCTTTGCTCTCTGTGTGTTTAAAAAATTCATGTACACAACTTTAAAGTTTCGTGGTTGGTTTTTTTCACCTGCCGCTACATAGAAGCCATATAAAATATCAAACGAAAGTCTAGTGGAATCATAATTATGCTTAGAACCCTATCAGTGCGCTATAAGCTGTTTTAATTATGCTTCATAATGTTTTAAAATTTTTTATGCGGCTGTGGCAGGTGCATTGATGATTCGGCTTAAGACTGTTCTCGTATATGAAGTTGGCCTTTCTTTTGATTTTATACGTATATTTTCTTTATACGAAGCTTGGTTCTTGTAACAGTGCGATTGAAAGGAATTTTTAGTACGAAATTAAATTTATAAGCAACATGAATTCTTATTGCGGTGTTTCTTATTGCATTCCCGTCATATGGTAGGAACATTTTCGCAGATGTCAAACCTAAATTAATATGTGTTAAGAAATAAAAAATGTGCTGTAATACGTGTATGTATAGCATTATTTAATTATATATTGGTCATACATATTTATATGTACACATTAGAGAGTACTGTTCTGGCGCCATATTGCATTGAGAAACCGCACACGGAAGACAATAGAAATTTGAGAGTAGTTGATATATTTCAAATTATTTTGTATTATTTATTAAACAATAGCAAAATGAACTGCGTAATTAAGCATTCAAGGCCATCGAAAACCACAACACACTTCATTGGAAACTATTAAATAACACACTACAGACTTAATCGTTTAACGGACTTATTATTCGTTTTGAATCTATAACAAATTCTGGTATTTATTTTGAGATTATCACAAGTTCAAGAGCATACAAAAAAGAGCCAGTGAAATTTACCAAAGATTGACGTGAGCTATAAGACAATGTTAATATTGGTATTTAACTCCTTATATTTCCTTTTATTCTACACAAATGTTTTCCACAAATTATTTATGTTTCTAGCAAATCGAACTGGTTCCTATTGCCAGGTTCATTTCCGGAGACCCTAGAAAACAAACATTCTTATGTATACATAGATATATTTTAATATTGTGAATTTTTTATTTTCTCTTTTTAGTTTTGAGCAAAGGCCAAGGTGAGACTGGCCGTTACAGATTCTTGGGGAAATATGGCGGTTACTGCTGGATTGTGACACAGGCTACAATTGTCTATGATAAATTAAAACCACAAAGTGTTGTTTGCGTAAATTATGTCATAAGGTAAGTACACAGATTTCCTTTCATAAAAATTGTTGGAAATATTTTCGCTTGAAAATGATTTGACTCGTAAACGAATATTTTGACCGCGTGTGAAAGTGAATAAAAAAAAACAAGTGTATACTTGAAGTGATGGCGGATAATTTGTTAATATTTCAACTTGGATAAATATTAACTATAAACTATTAATTAAAAATCAAATCATTAACTAAATAATTCTAAAAAAAAAAAATAATTCTGTTCATAATATCATGTGCTGAATATAATCGTAATTTGCATTATATTTTAAAATCGTTTTATAACAAATTTTAGTTTTTTAGTTTTAAATATAGTCAATGACTTAATTATTATTTTTTAAATCAAAAGTAATTTTATAAAAAAAAAGTCCGAAATCAGAAATGAATAGAGGCGGAACTGAGTCTGTCGGACTGCTTGCGAACCTAGTCACGTATTAGAGTCCCAACAACAGTCGCTCTATATCTTGGTGTAGTCACTTTTCTTGTTCGATGCTCGTAAAAAATAGAGGTGGAAGTCAAGGAAATATATCTTTAGAAACGTTCTAGCTCCAATCTTTAGATAATTTTCCTACAAATTGCAAATAATATGCTTAAAATTCAAATCAACGTCAGATTCAGCTGATGTTTGATCCGTATGGCACCAATGATGGATGGATGTGGTGCAGACCTCTGCTGTTATATATATTTGTCGCTTTGCAACCGCTGAAGCGATCTTTCGGCTAGCTCTTTCTCCAATTTGTGATTTTGCGTCGTACTATACGTCAGATGTATGTATGTGCAATAGCAGACCATCTTGCAGACCCGCTCACATGTTGCTGCGGCTGAGTTTTTTTCTATTTTCTGCCACCTCATTACATCAAACTGGTCCTTTTCAAGCACTTCGTTAAAACACTCAACTATGAAGAACCAACTTTTCAGTAGATATTGAAGTCGTCTCCCAAATTGGCACACGCAAAAATCAAAGAAGGTAAATATATCGGTCCTGATATCAGAAAAACTAATTCGTGATGCGAAAGGCATCGAAAATAAATAAGTGCACAGCCACGTTGTGTTTTGCTATAGAATTAAAATAAAAATTTCTATTGATTTTCTTTTCGTTGATGACATCAGTGCTTATTTAACGCCTTTATATTTCATGAGTCGTTTCTAATTGATATTACGTATTTCCATGCCGAAATTACTATGGTCAGTCAACTGAATGAATTGCGAGCTTGTGATACAAATAAATAAAATCATAAAACGATTATTTAAAGTAATTGCATTCATTTGTCGCCAATAGGAACAGCCGCGATCGCTGCGAATCACACAAAACCCTGTATGCCGATTTGTATTTTTCTTTCGTGTGTGATAAATTACATATGTATGTGCATACATCATTTATATTTATGCAAGTGTAAAAATGGCTTCCTTCTTGCCCTGAAGTGCAGAACTTAAATTTATCTTTGTGCGCCCCATGTGATGTAGTCCCATGCTCCTTCTACAGGTAAACATCTTTACATCCATGCCGAATTAACTAACTTGAAACCTTTAATATGTATATTTACTAAAATATGGTAATTAAGAGAACATAAATTGTTTATTAGCTGTTGATGTAGAAATCTATATTGATGTTTACTATAACACTCCATATAAGCGGACAATTGCTCTACCACCCTGTGCATGTGCTACTTAATTAAGTGCACGGATGCCGCAATTCAATAGTAAATAAACGGTTTTGCCAATATAAATATGGTCTAGAGTTTTTAAATGGTTAATAAGTAATATACATAGTTCCCTTAAATGAGTTCCCGATCCAATCATTTGCATCCGTCGAAAAAGTCAGTAGTACGGAGGAGGTGGTTCTTTATGGTTACAGCCACAATGTTGCTGTTGCTCGAAAGATCTTTTTTAATTAAAAAAACCGAAAAGTGGAATTTTATAAATGCCGAATTATGAAAAGAACTTCGTTTAAGAAAAGTCGTACTGAGCGCATCCGAAATATTTCTTTGTTTTCATGAGCTCTAATTTTTCTCAATTCCTTTTGCACCAAAGGCTTTGTCATTTTTATTGAAAAACATATGGAGGAGGAAGTAGTGCAGCTTAATTTCTTTTACTGTGCAGAAAAGTTTGTTCGACCTATAACATAATTTACACGCGCTAATGGCATTTCGAAACTTTTCACATGCAACTTTTTATTCTCTCTCACACTCCATAAAGGCTCAACCAGCTATCTAGTGCACCTCACATTAGACCTTCCCTCGGTGAAAGAAAACATCGTCAGAAGTTATGCCCGTAGCTTGCTACGACGAAGTGTAGCATGGCGTACACGATATAACGTATCAGCTGAGCCGACATGTTCTTGCCCACATTATTTAAGCGTATTTACATAAATAAGTGAAGGGGTTTATTTACAACTAAGAAAAAAAATTGACACAGAGTTAGAACGTTGTGATAAAATGTTGTCAGCTTATTTTGAATGTAGCCACAGTTTGCGGCACGTTTGCTTTTAATCGCATACTTTTTTAGTATGGGTAGGAAAATTACATCGGGACATTATATCCTTATATGCTCAAGTGCAAAATTTTCGTATTCTTAACTTTTTTATTAAAAAGATATGTATGTATTGTATGTATGTATATATACAATATATAATATACATACTTATTTATGTATACACTACAGTTTCTATGTTTTATTTTATTCTCTTTTATGTACAAACTCAATTTTGTGCTTATGTACACACATAGTTATGCATTAGAGTTCAAACCTTTTTCAGCATTTGAGCAATAAACATTTGTTTGTAAACTTTCGAGCACGAAAACTTAAAATGCGAAAGAAATTTTCCCAAACCAAATTGAAAATTTTTGTTTTGCTGCTCGATTTTAAATTTTCCAGAAACTCAATATTTTAATCAATATTTGAACATTGCACAATACGAGTTAACAGGAACTGAGCTGTTCGCACCGCTCTTAAATCGGATATCTGGAGCTCTGATACGAGTGCAGCACATGGTCTAGTAAATGGGAAGGTTTGCCTCTCATATGAGATATGCTTTAGGCCTTGTTTGGTATCGAAAATGTTGACATTTCCCTACATATACATACATATATGGAAATCTTTGATATGCTAAAATATGTATTTTCATTTCTTCCCGTGAAACATTTCTCTTTAATTTTGATTATCTGTTGACATTGGTTCGGCAGGTTTATCACAGGCAGCGTAGTGTCGTGGTGGCGTATGAGTGATATTTAACTCATTCACAAATACACTCAACCGAATGTACAATATATACAGTATTGACGAAAATTAAAGCACCCCGTAGTGCAATTCTTGCTAATGTTGTTTTTTTTTAAATAAATAGTAAAACTTGAATTGGTTGAGACGCAAAGGCATAGACGTTTCAAACGTAAGATCGTAAATATGCAAATTAGTAGGAAACATTGTAGAACCAAGGACGAACTGTGTAAAGCTGTAAAACTGGCATAGAAGGGCATATTTCAGCATGTTATCGATAATTTGATATCTTCAATGCCTAAAAGATGAGCTTCTGTCATCCAAAGTAAAAAGTTTGCTACAAAATATTTTTCGAGTTAAAAAAAGGCACAAAAAGTATATTGCTTTCTTAAAAATGAGTATATAAACATCAATAACATTAAAAGAAATAATTTTCAATAAATTTTCTTAAAGAAAAAAGCACAAATATATACGTATATCTACACATGAGTCGTTTATTTTGAAAGCGGTTTACGTCCATTTAAAAAAAAAGTAGTTAATGATAACAATAATCACAATCTTGTATAATCTTTGTTTTATGATATGATTTTGGGCTCTTTAAAATTATTTAGTTAACGAAATTCCAAAAAAAATTTTTTAAGCCGGTTTAAGTCCACTGAAGGCGTTACCCTTTCCAAATATGTACATTTACCCTTCAAAAAACTTTAAAATCATAAACATTTCATAGCTTACGGCGATATGTGCAAGTTTTTACAGGACACTCATTTTTGCCAAATGACACTGATTTTGGAGTGGTGGAAATGGCTTTGAGGAAAAATAATTTAATGTATGCCCCCCAGGAATACTATGAAACCATAAAAATATTTCAAAAGAGTAACAAATTTATATAATATTAACTAACACGAAACGTGAAGAATTTTTTCTACCAAACTTTTGGAAGAAGCCATTCATAAAAGATTAAAAAACACTAGTGGCGAAGCCGTAAATTGGCTAAGAATATGTTGGATGCGATTTATAAGAAGTGAACCCTATAAATAGTTTTGTAAATAATCTATGGAAGTGGATAAAGAGTTCAAAATATTTGATTTATTACCTTGTCGGGAAAGACCAAGGAACTGCAACAAAATAAAATTAACACCATTATACAACAATCTACGGCCCATTTCAATTGCCAAGTATAACGATATGATTGGGGTACTAAGGTATATACCATCTATGCACCATAAATATTTTAACAACCTCCCACATAATCTAAATGAGGAGAAATAATAATCCATATTAAATAAATGTAAATTAAACTTTTTAATACATGAATTAATATAGGTGTTTATTCAAAAAACATAATTTTAATTACATAAATAAAAATCGGCATTCATCTACTTCAAATATAAACTATTTTTAATCTATATTATTTAATTTCTTTAAAATAAGTGGACTATTTCCTTTTCAGTTTTCTTAATTTTGACAGTGTTTTTTAAGTCCAGTTAAGTTCTAAAACACACCTAATTTTTTTTAGTAAAATTTACAAAACATACTACGTTATATATTCTAATATGTTTAACGCCACAAAGCTATAAAAAAGTTAATAGCACTTAACAATATTTTGAAACAAATCAAACACAAACCCTAAAATATTTCAATATAAGAAAAAATGGACTTAAGCCACTTTCAAAATAAAGGACTCATATATAAGTCATAAAAAAAGTGTTTTAGGTTTAATAAACTCAAATAAAATGCATTTATAATATTTTTTTATGAAATTCCTTTTTTATT